ATGTAAGCTGATGTTATCTTGATCCCAAATGATAGACACTGATGCTGTTAAACTACACAGTCCTGGAAAGAAGCTATATATACTCTGATGTAAGCTGATGTTATCTTGATCCCAAATGATAGACACTGATGCTGTTAAACTACACAGTCCTGGAAAGAAGCTATATATACTCTGATGTAAGCTGATGTTATCTTGATCCCAAATGATAGACACTGATGCTGTTAAACTACACAGTCCTGGAAAGAAGCTATATATACTCTGATGTCCTGCAGCCAGGATGAACAGCTTTATGGTTCGGAAGGGATTACTTTGGATCATATGAAGAAGTCTGACTACTTGTAACAATTAGCTTTCAATCAGAAACAACTGTTCTGTCTGACTACTTGTAACAGTTAGCCTTCAGTCAGAAACAACTGTTCTGTCTGAATCTTGTAACAATTAGCTTTCAATCAGGGAACAACTGTTCTGTATAACTATGTAACCGTTAGCCTTCAGTCGGGAAACCCAACTGTTCTGTCTGACTACTTGTAACAGTTAGCTTCAGTCAGGAAATAACTGCTCTGTATGACTATTTGTAACAGTTAGCCTTCAGTCGGGAAACCCTACTGTTCTGTCTGACTACTTGTAACAGTTAGCCTTCAGTCAGAAACAACTGTTCTGTCTGAATCTTGTAACAATTAGCCTTCAGTCAGGAAACAACTGTTCTGTATAACTATGTAACAGTTAGCCTTCCGTCGGGAACACAACTGTTTTGTCTGACTACTTGTAACAGTTATCCTTTAGTCAGGAAACACAATTGTTTTGTCTGACTACTTGTAACAGTTGGAGAATGATGCTAACATGTATAATCGCGGGTCTGGTTGTATGAAATTACAACAATAGAATTTGTTATGGAAAAAAATCTGCAGCTTTTCGTTAAAATAAGAACAAACAAAAAATGAAGCGTATAAATAAAAACACTTGTTGAGCATTTTCGTTTACCTCACTGATGTATGACGTACAGGTCATGCGTGACACAATAATTACTACCCTGTCATATCAAACTAGGCGTTGGTCTAATTGGCGACGAATCCTGTCAGCCTACCACACTTCTGGAGTTTATTAGCCAATGACAAAACACTGCCATCATGTGGTAAATTATAGAGATATGTGGCGCCTCCAGCGCCCTCATCCAAGGAGAAATCCGAGTAGTATGAATCTATATTCAAACTTAAAGTTTCACTTTGAAGTAAAGATTTGAATGCCGATAGCTTGCGAAACACAATAAACTGATAGGCCTAATATTCTGAAATACTACTTTTAAACATCTCTCTCTGCATGAAAATTCGTTATGGAAAAATTTAGAAGAATGTAAAGAAAAATGGAAACGTCTGTAGTCCATCGTGATAGTTATTACAACTAGTAGGCCTATTTGCATCTATTTGATGATATAGAGTCAGACAATCATGTGTACAGTGATGTATATATTCATGTTGCTTTTATTGCTTTCTGGCTAGAATCAACTGCATGCTATATCTCCGAACAGGAAACACCTCAGTAGCTCCTCTAGACAAAAGACCATTCGTAACTTTCAAATAAATTGTGTCGGCCTACCTTGTGATCAAAGAAAATATACTTTTGTAAGAGAAGCAATTACTCGTGATTCTCTTCAACAACAGCCATTGTGACTACTAGTGTGGTCCGCTTCCAACTGGGTTAAGTGATTATTTTGGATGTTTCTAACCTGTTTCGATAATAACCCTAGGGTTGATAACTACGCAATATACTCACGAATTTGTAAAATTTGCCCACTTGTAACCCATTTTTTTCTTTATTACGACAGTCAAGCAGTGTTGTATATAAATATATGTATATATATATATATATATATATATCTTATGTACGCGTTTACTAACTGTAGTAATGTGTGCTGAGTCAGAAACAGTAACGTATTTTCAAATAATCAGAATACTAGAGAAAGCCCATCTGGTTCAATCTTATTTTACAATTCCATAGTTATTATAATAAGAGTTATTTTTCACATTCCCACCTGCATGATTTTGTTTGTGGACTTCTGATGGCGCCCGTCTCTGTTAGCCGAACAAATAAATCTTTAAACCGTTTGTAAAAGACCTGTAATGGAGAAGTAGTACTGCTGCTTGAGGCAACAGCAAGTACCCAGACCAGCCTTTCATTGTGATACAGTTCTGCTTGTAAACGTGCCAACGTAACATCAAATTTCGTGATTGATTGTAGTCTAATGCAAAATTAGATGTCTTCATTATCTGTAGTAATTTATAGACGTAGGTTTCAAAGCCTGACCACACTTCATCCATACCCTAGAAGAAGTAAGAGTTAAAATCTCTACCAACCCACATCCAGTTCCTACCGCACACGAAGCCACCTGAGCTCTAATATTTGCATACTGCATCAAGCCGTCAGTACGTTAGATGGAAGGGCTGGGAAGGGTGGCTGACCTGCTGTTACTGGGTGTCAGGTGCAGGTGATTCTTTAGATAACTGAAGTAACGCCAGTTTGATAAAACACTTTCAACAACATATAGACGTAGAACATTCTGCTGAAAATTACAAGCAGAAAAGTATAAAAGTAAATCAGGGGGTTTGTCCCCCTTAGCTCGGGAGGGGCCCCCAAATGGTAGTTTCTCTGACACATTTTTAGTGAAAATGAATTAACACATATACAAATTATGCCATAGCATAGGGCCCCTAGCTATGACATAATTTGTATATGTGTTAATCCGGTTTGTAGTCAACCTTCTTTTAACCCTCCTCTAAGCCTTTCGTGGAATGAGGTTCCTGAGAAAGAAAAGACACTGCATAAAAACAACCCAGTCTCTTCAAATATCACAAATATTAAGTAAACTTATATTCTCTTTATTATCCACAAATATTTATGTTTAAGTTTCATATCCACAGGAAGTGAGAACAGTTATGTTTTTTGACTGAAGCTAACTGTTGCAAATAGTCAGACAGAACAGTTATTCCTGACTGAAGCTAACTGTTGCAAATAGTCAGACAGCACAGTTATTCCTGATTGAAGCTAACTGTTACAAGTAGTCAGACAGAACAGTTATTCCTGACTGAAGCTAAATGTTACAAGTAGTCAGACAGAACAGTTGTTTCTGACTGAAGGCTAACTGTTACAAGTAGTCAGACAGAACAGTTGTTTCTG